ACCCACCTTCCGGAGATCATGGAACGGTTGAACTAGGGCGAAGACCATGTGCTGGTCTTCACTACGCCACGTAAGTCCTAGCAGTCACCTGGGTTGGGCCTGACAATTCAGCCCAACACAAGTGACCGTTGTCCCTGCGTTGGGGTCTCTCTATAAATACCCTCTTTCACAAGAGGGTCAGGAATTCGCTTCTTAACCTCTCTTTTGTATTTGCTCCCACTGTGGTTCATTACTTACTTTGACATCGGAGTGTCTTGTAGGTACACCCCCCCTTCTCGTCCATATTACTTGTGAGCAGCTCGCAGATCAACGACGCGTGGCAGGCCATTGTTCTCCTTCTGATCAGGTCAGATCAATATGTAAATAAGTAATTCAACTAATGTTTAAATATACTAGAGAATCAAAAGTACAATGAGATTAAATGTTTGTTTACATAGAAGCATAAGTTTTGTGAGATTATTTGTTTAGAAGAACTTGTAAAACAATTTATAACATTATTGATAAAGTGTTTTTAACTTATTTTCAGAAGTTCTTCAAGATAACTAAAATTTACTTTTGTATTTTAATATAAAATACGAAATAAAATATAAAAAATAATATATTTATTTATATTTCTTAAAGTAGGCTAGTCTAATAGGCTTAAGAGACTTTTCTGTGTCCTATGGCCTGACCTATTTAACCAAATAGGCTTATAAAAAAATATTAGTCTTTTCTACTTTAAAAAGAACATGGGTCTGGCCTTCGTCTATCTAAGTTACAACCTCCCCTAAAACTAAGCAAGGGTATTTAGATTTATAATATGTGAATAACTAATACTATGACCTACCTCTAAAGTTAGGAATTTATAGCTACAACCTCCTCCTGTTAGAGTTTATATTAATATATAATATTTAGAAGCAAAAAGTTACCAAGTTATACAAATTGGCTTGGTGGTAAGAAAGTGTGTTGTTTTACCTTAATGTGCATGGTTTGAAAATTTTTATTGAGCAGTTTCGAACATGCAACCTTTCGACAAAAGTACATGCATCTGCCAACTGAATCAGTGCATTAATTATGGTATATTATGAACGTGAAGCATTATAAATGTTGATCGGGCATATGCAAATTTCAAATGGTGTTTCTCTTTATTAAGTGACCTAAGTTTCTCTATAATAGAGACACTTGAGAATCATAAAATACACACGAAAATAGAAATATACACATTCATTTTTTCATCATTTCAATTATTTTAAAATCATCTTTTACTTCATTAATGCATGAGTGAAATGTAGGAAACATTTTTTTGTAACCTATTATCAAAAAATAAGCTTAATGTGTTTGTGCAATTTACATTAAGGTATTTTAAGTATTCATAAGAGAATTCACCATTAATCCTTATTGCATCCTATATATAATAATTGGTAAGAACGAGTTAAACTTAAATGTTAGTGTAAAATTCACACGCTTTGAATTTTCAAATGCAATTTTCATCAACACTTTTATTCTAGTGTTGTTAGATATTTACAAACAACCACAATATCCAACACCTCTTTCCGTAGGATGTTAGTCTTTTTGTTTATAATCCCAACCACATGCAGCCCTACTATGATCTGTAAAGGAGCGTGGTGAATGACTTATCCTTTTAATACAAGAGACTTGGTTAATCAATTTATAAGATTGATGACTATTCAGTTTTGATAAGGATCATCATGTTAGTTGTTGGAACGTGTTTTGTGAGTCATGATCTATAATATAAGAGAGCGTGTTGAGTTTGCTCCAACGAATGAATAGGTGATCGACCTCACCCATCTTCTTTTTAGTTATTTTTGTCTCATTTACAAGATGAGAAGCTAATGAATCCAAACCATTAACATTTAATAAGCTCAAATTATAATATAATTCACTTTTTTACATAAATGTATTTAAATATATATTATATCATCTACAACTTAATTTTAGTCGAAATCAATTTTACAAGAGTAATTCATTCAAAATTAATTTTTAACAAAACATATGTTATATCTTTACGATTTAAATTTTCCATCCAAACTAAATCTTTTATAAAAGAAAAATAAAATTTGGACATCCAAGCTAATTAAGTGATTAAGTATCCAAACTTATTATATATTCTATAATAAGTGTCATTTATATTTATATGAAGTATAATATTAATTATATTCTTATATTTTCATGTCTGAATTAGTATCTACATTCCTTTTATTATAACAAAACTTTAACATTTTTTAAATCAAATAATAGTAAGAGCTTGATTTAATAATCTAAAAACATTAAATTTAAATCTCATACAATAATTTCTTTTCTATTTTTTTTGTATTATCATGTGGATATATATCATAAGATGACAAGTAAGAGAGAGAGAGAAAAAAAAAACATTAAAATCATTGACAGTTGTAAAACATCAGCAGAAGCATCAATATGGAAAAACACAACAATCCCACGAGAACAAAAGAAAATCTTATAGATGAATCTCCATTACTACAAAGTGAAGTTGAAATTCAACATGATGAAGATGGATCCAAGTCGAATTCTAACAACAATGAATCATCACCAGCTTCATTTACTGGTTCTGTGTTCAATTTATCAACCACCATAATTGGTGCTGGAATCATGGCTTTACCAGCAGCCATGAAAGTTTTGGGTCTAACAATTGGTATTGTTTCCATCATCTTCCTTGCTTTTCTTGCTCATACCTCTTTGGAAATTCTCATGAGGTTTAGTAGAGTTGCTAAGGCTCAGTCGTATGGTGATGTTATGGGGGGTGCTTTTGGAAGTGCTGGAAGATTGGTTTTTCAGATTGCTGTTCTTTTAAACAACTTTGGTATCCTTGTTGTCTACACCATCATTATTGGTAACTAAATTTTAGATTTTTATCATCTTTTGTCCATTAAAGTTTGTAACTTTATATAACATATGGATTTAATGTGTGTAATTTCAAAGTTTATAATCACAAGTGTGAGTGTCACTTTTGAACATTAACACTAGCACAGAACAATAACTGTGTCATAGACACACCTTTTTTCAGAGTTGTAAGTGTTCCACTTGATTTGCAGGTGATGTACTGTCTGGAACATCTTCATCTGGAACTCATCATTTCGGTGTACTCGAAGGATGGTTCGGCGAACACTGGTCGACCGGGCGGACTTTTGTTCTTTTCGTGACAACCCTTGTGGTGTTTGCGCCATTAGGATTCTTTAAAAGAATAGGTACAATTTGACAATACAATAAAGTCTAGTATGTTACATGATTTACCTCACATTATAGGAAGTGTAATATTATTGTGATTAACCGTTTAGTTTTTCTATTTCATTTTTATGCCTGCAGATTCATTGAAATATACTTCTGGTTTAGCAGTGGTTCTGGCAATTGTTTTTCTAGTCATAACGGCAGGAATCACGGTTTTTAAATTGTTCAATGGAAGTATAGAGAGTCCTAGGTTGCTTCCTAATGTTACTGATATGTCATCTATTTGGAATCTCTTCACGGCCGCTCCGGTTCTTGTGACAGCATTTGTTTGTCATTACAATGGTAATCTATCTCAACGAACTCGAACTCTACTATGATATTTGATATATCGAATAGTTTTATGAAATTTTAACAAAATATATAAGTTTCACTGAAGTATTGTTCTTTGCAGTGCATACAATAGACAATGAACTCGGAGACTCTTCATCTATACAACCAGTTATATCTGCATCACTGGTTCTATGTTCAAGTATATATATCCTCACAGCTTTATTTGGATTTTTACTATTTGGTGAGTCGACTCTCGATGATGTACTGGCCAACTTTGATACCGATCTCGGTGTCCCTTATAGTCATGTGCTCAATGACATCGTTCGAATCAGCTACGCTCTTCATCTCATGCTTGTTTTCCCAGTTATCTTCTTTTCGCTTCGGTTCAATTTGGACGATCTTGTCTTTCCCACAGCAGAGTCACTGGAGTTAGATAATTGTAGATTCTCGTTGATCACTACTGGACTTATTTCTTTGCTCTACGTGGCTGCGAATTTCGTACCGAGCATTTGGGATGTTTTCCAGTTCACCGGTGCAACTGCAACTGTTTGCCTCGGGTTTATTTTTCCGGCCGCAATTGCTCTGAGGTGTGTATTCTTAATTTATCGAAATGTTATTAGTACTCTTTCTTTTCGCTTCTAACCTTTGATTCTGCTGTTTCAGGGATCCGCATAGCATTGCAAGTAAGAAGGACAAGATTTTATCGATTGTCATGATTATTCTGGCAGTGTTCTCGAATGTTGTGGCTATATACAGCAATGCTGAAGCTTTGTTCAGAAAACACCAAAGTAATTCAAATTTAGACAGAAACTTTGCTTGGTCTATGAAGATCCAGCAATAGTTTTAATGAAACAAAAAGACAGCACACAATATGACAACTTCATGTAATAACGTTTTTATTGATATTATTTACATTAAATATATGTAATTTCAAATAATGGAACAAGTTCGAGAACAACTATTACACTAAACATGACCAAAAAAATGCTACATATGCTTCCATTTTCCTCTCAAGAAACCAAAATGAATGAAATAAAATACAATGTATACAAAAAGCAAACCCAATTTTGGCTGCTTTTTTAAAAAGCTAGTGTCCACTAATCTGAGAAAATCACCTTATATAAATACCACCAGTGCTTCCATCTTTTTTATTAGTATGTGTTGTGCACCAACCATGGACAAAAACAGATTGGCTTCTGTATATATGCTGAATCTTCTTACTTTCCAACTGATTCAATCAAAACTCAAAACCAACTTGTAGAGTGACATATGCATGGCCCTCTTTCTTTTCAATCACAAGATTTCTTCTCATATCTTTTATAGTGTTTTTGGAAAGAAATTGCAGTTCCAGCTAAGAAATCTTGCTTTGAACTCTAATTTGTTGCAATGTTTGTTCTTGGAGATTTTGCAATTCCATGCAAAGGTAGAGATAGATATCTTACAAACTTGATTACATTGGATTATGCAACATGAGATTTTTGTGTAGTCTAGTTGAAGAAATAGGGAGACTTCAATACTTCTTGAAGATCGAAGTCTCCTCGTTCCGGTAAAGGAGGAAACTTCAATGTCGGAAAAGTCTTCTCGAAATTCTCCAACAACTGCATTCAGGATTCAACAAGTAACTTTCAAAAACAGTCAACATAAATCCAAAATCTTATAGAATTGTCTAAATGAAGATACTTTACATTTTCTAAGATCGGAGCGTCGTAGAGTTCAACAAACTTTTCCCTGAGTATCCTGTTCATTTCATCAACATCGCACGCGTGTGTCCAATAAGAATCATGAACCCCTGCAATTAAACATTGGTGCACAAAATTTGAATTCCTAATACTAACAAGTACACAATATGCATGATGAATGTGTGATAAATAAACCGGTGCACACCAGCAAAGTTCATCCCTGCTTGTTTACAAGCTACGGCAGTCATCATCATGTGAGAACCATCAAGAGAGTGAACAAAATTTGGAGGGAAAGCTGTTCTCTGCCTTTTTACCATAACCTGTAACAAATGTAAAAAAATTGCTCTATAGTTTAAACTAAAATTGGATGATGAAATGAAACAGTCAATTTAAACAAGATGGGTCGATTTTGATCAATCAATAGTTACCTTGTCCGTCTCCCGCTGTAATGTCAATACCTGAAGTGATGTCTTGATCTGCACCAAATCCAATTTTTCATATTAGTGCCGTAAATGATTTAGCAAACTGCGTATGAATTATTTGCCTTGTAGAAATTCAAAAAGAAAGGAAAGGAAAAAATCCGGCTACTGTTATGACAATTACCAGATGTCTTCCTATTTCTCGGTAAGGTTGTACTACAGGAAGCCCAAGGGGAGTAACCCATCGCACTGCTTGGTTCGTGCAAGCTATCACCTATTCCATTTTCAAAAGGTTAGAGCATGTTCAACATCTAAACATCTTTTTTGTAATGTTATCGAACAGAAAATTATTCGTACCTTTGCACATTCACCTAGCCAATTCATAATACTTCTTGCAGCCTCGAACATCTCTTCTAAGGCGGTTAGAGTGGTCTAAAAATAAGTGAACAATAAGTAAAATAATAAAACATTTAGAAATGTCTACATTCAACTTCACATATCGAATTCCCTTACTTTTGCAGCGTAGCAGGCAGCAGCAAACAGCTCTGAATCATCCTCAATCGCACAACGCTCCTTAAGCCTTCTCTTAATCTGGTCTCGGGCCCCAATATAAGTCACTCCATACACCGATGTCATCACTGTCTGCTTCACCAACTTTCGGTCCACCTAATGTTGCCAGTTATGAATAATTCATGAACAAGATTATTTACCATAGCTCTAAAAACCCCTCTAAGTTTATTTTGTCAAGTGTTCCATAGCAAAAGATGAATAAAAGATTAATGTTTTGAAACTAGAAAGTGAAAAGAAACCTGGCTGATCAAACGCCTAGCATGCAATGCGTGTGGAAAAGTTTTGGGATCTTTCAGTGCATCTGTTTTCATGATTTCAAGTACTCTGCATCACAATACCAAATTTAACACATCAAAAACCTATTTATAAAAAAAATTTGGAATATACACGAATGGTGTATATTGTACTGATTAAACTTTATTCATTTGATTAATTTATAATCTACTGCCATAAAATAAAACAGGCGTCGATTTGCACCGTGATAACTACCTGGCTGCAATTCCTGAGTAAACATCAGCAGGCTGGTCTCCACCAACAAGATTGACTGCAGCAGCTCCCAACTTTAAACAGAAAAAATTGCAGCAAAATATGATAACGCAGAATAGAGATAGAGAATAAGAATACAACTTTTTAAAGCCGAAATTACATAAGTTCCCCCATATGTTCGAGCATATAGAATTTATGAATAAAAAATGACATTGTTTGTTACATAGAAGACATTCCAACTAAATATTTATCAAACTCAGAGCTACCACCGTCCAGATAATACACAAAGCAAACCAAAACTCGGAAAAAAAAAATAGAGAAACATTACCTTGTCCCTACCAAGTGCTGCGTAGTGTTGTAAGCCATTGCATGAACCATCCTAGTAAGTATGCAAAAGAAAAAATTAAAATGAGAAAGAAATACTAAAGCATGGGTCGTGCTCGATGCCTTCAAGTCTCAACTTCATCATACACGTGTCATGGGGAGTGACTAGAAAAAAACAGAACAATACTATTTTCGGATACAGTTCAAGTATACAACAATACAAACTTTGTTTAGTTCTGCAATCAATAACATATTAAATACCTGAAAACTAACTTAACAACCAGGCATTTCATTTCTATTAAAATTTTAAATTGGCTTATCACAATACATAAGCCAGTCAAAATCCAGCTAATGTTCGTCTCAGCATGGTTACATATTCCTAGATTATATGAACCTTGAGTAAGATAATAAAGAGGAGTTAAGGTAGTTGTCATTAGTCAGGTTAGTTATTCAGTAAATTAAAAGGGATTAAAAAGAAATGAAGCACATGTTTCATCCAGATATAATTCAAATTAAAAGGCTTTCGCCCTGCTGCTAACACCTCTAGTGCTGCAAAAAATGATTTAATTGTTCTGCCATCTAGATGAAAAATTTCAATTAAAAACGGTGTGTATTCCCAAACAAATGCTTAAAATCACAGCAAAAAGTACCTGGTGTACAGGCATATGAGAAAGGGTAGACTCGGGAGTAGGGCTTCTCAATGCTTCAGAAAGATTGATACAAGCTGCCAAGCACTGAAAAGGATCCTCTGCTTGCAACCACCACCTTTTTCCTTCAAGAGGTCTGTCTGCAGAATCAAAAATATCATCCAGGTGGCCCTCAGTAAACGCTATTCGACCATCATAACTTAACTTGTCCACACCACCAGCATACAAATTGGCCAGATGTATTTTCAACCATTGTAAGCCTGACTTCCCCAGAGGACGTCCCTCTGCAAACTCAAGTATGCCTCGACATAGATCAGAACCAAGATGGTTCAAATATGGGTGCATTGGATAAGCACGCCCTCGGAAATCAAGATTGTGAGGATAGTAGAAGCCTTCTTCTTCTTTCATCTTTCGTGCAACCTACAGCAAAAAAAGCCAATGCAAAAATAATATATGCAACCTCTTTCGGAAACCGTTTGATATAACTCAGTTTATTTAGGATTAGAGGGCTTCATACAGCAAGTTTAAGTTCTATATCACATCGCTGTGAATGTCTCTCAGTATTATCTTTTTTGACGGCTTTAACTTTCCACTTCCATTTTCGGATTTCTGCTTCATCTTCTGTGTCTGGTTCCTCTGGGAGGGGCAGCTTTAAACGAAAAGGACAGTCAATCAAAACATAATTGGAAACAAAGAGACATTAATGGAACCGAAAGGGGCAAAAAGAAAAGAGAGCTAAATTCGGACACGACTTAGATAAAAAGCATGCAACATTTTTTTCAAAAGTTCAGAGTATGAGATGAAAGGGAAGCTACTTTAGTTGAAGATCACTTCTTTCAGTAGAATAGGCTAAGTTTTGAGGGAGAAATTCAATAAATAACTTAGCAACAAGCTGTTTGGTACTCACATCATCGCGATCCACCAAGTCAGCCAGACGGCCTCCGTTAGCCCATATTTGATCTATCACGCCGAGTACACTTTTGTTTACCCTCCATTTGGTATCACCGAGAGTGTTAAGTGCCTAAGCATAACAATTCCAGAATTAATTTCAAGTATTAACTTAGGACCATGAGCTGCGATACAAATGAACAAACATTAAGAAAAATCCAACCTCAAAAATAGAGTCAAGTTGATTCTTGGGAGCCCTTTTTACAGCTTCGCGTTGCTGCTTTGCTCCATGTATTCTCATTACATATGATGGCAAAAACAAGTATGCTCCTTTGTCATACCTACAATAATATTGCAATATTTATGATTCAAAGATTGCTATCAAACTTTCAAGCATTATACAAGTCAACAGAACTTAGCTAACATAGGAAAAATTCAAATTTTTAAAGTAAATTGAATAGGAAATTTTTTTTAATATATGCCATACCCTGTCCAGTGGTTCGGTGGAACCAACATTGGCATGTAGGGGATAACCATGTGCCTGGCCTGTTAAAGTAAACACATTTTGATGTTAACATCAGTTTCATGAATATAGGCACAAGAACGCAAAAATTTTGCTTAAATGTATAGCAATGTTGTTAGACAATGTCTAGCGCTATGTTCGGCAATACGCTATTCAATACAAAATATCATCAAATAACAGCTATAGTAGCACTGTAGCAATCATGTGTAACGGAATTTGAACAAAAAGCTATTTCAGCAACCTGCACTTGATAACACTCTATAGAGAACAATAATAACAACCAAAACTTGAAGTATAAAGCCATAAAATTTGTCTAATAACATACTAAAAGAAATGTGAACATGAATTTAAGTACAAACAATTCATTGAGGATAATAGGTAAGTCACTTACAGTCTTTTCAAGGCCCTTCTGTATCATAGGGTCACATTCAATAACGCCGTATCTCCTACTTCCATTGCTAAACGAGTAAAGAATGTTCATTATTATTCGATAAAGGAAAAAAAAATTAAATTTACAGATATGATTGTGGAAGAGTACTATCAATCTCACCTTGAATCACCAGAAATTGTCTTGAGGGTATGCTTAAATGCGGGGTAAATATCTGGAGGACCACCATCTCCAAATTGATTGGCAGGTGGTTGTAAGTAGGCTGTTTCTATTAACAGTTGTATCAAACGAGAGCCAACCTGGAATATGCAGGAACTATATTGTAACACGAAAAGAATGAACCTTCCTTGTTCATGCAGATACAAGTACAGTACAAACAAATATTAGCAAGTACAAACCTTTACTTGAGCTTCCTGTCCCCAAGGTTTTGCTTGATCTCTTCCCCGAACTATCCCCATTGCTTGTTGCTTCTTCTGCTTTTTTATTAAACTAGCAACTCTTTTCCTAATTCTTTTCTCCTCTTCATCAAGTTTTTCTTTTTCTTCCGCTGTCAGGTTGTCACTTATTACAGGTGTGGGAACAGATTCACTATCAGACTTGTCAGTGGTTGTTTTCTTCGCCTTTGTCTTCTCCATAAATCGATATATTCTACCCTAATCCACATTTAAGAGTACATTTTAAGATTATAAACACTTGAATATTGTGATATTACGCTAATAACATAAAACTTTAACAATAAAAAACCTGGAATTAACCACATTATTACTAAACATAAATTCAAATTTACCATACTAGATTACGCGGTATATCATTTGTTTCAATCAGAAGTAAGGGATTTATAGTTCATCCACTCATGTGAATAGTAAGTAGTAACTACCCTTTTTATTACCAAATTTGCATGTTTGGACTACCCTCAAGTGATTCTAAAGACTAAAATTGATTTTGGTATGTTTGAGGGTTGTCGATTAGAATTGATTTTGCTTCTAAAATTGATTCTAACTTGAAACTAGGATTTGCCCCTTTTGCCTCCAAAGACGATATTGCATGTGTTGGATTCACTTTAGGGAGAGCTAAAAATGATTAAGGAGACTTAAATTGATTTTGCTATTTTTGAGGTTTGTCAATTAGAATTGATTTTACTACTATAATTGATTCTACCCTGAAGCTGGGATTAGTACTTTTTGCCTCAATTTATTGTTCAAATCATTTTCACATAAATGTATCCAAACATTAATCATTTTATCTTTAACTAGAGGTCGCTCACTTTTAAGTTTTAACTAAAATCAATTTTACAAAATCAACTCAATCAAAGTCTTATCAGCATAGAACCAAATACACACTAAAACAAATGACAAAGGGAAACATATAGAAGATAAAAGCATCAAACTATTATATTGAACCCAAAAGCATAGAATAGAAGGTGCATAATTGAGTTCAAGCAACTGTTTCAACGTATGTTTGGTTATGCGGTGAAAAAAATTGATTTTGAGTGAATTGATTCTATAAAATTGATTCTGGTTAAAAGTGAGTTGAATGTAAAGTGATTTATGTTTGGATAACTTTATGCAAAATTGAGTTGAACAGTAAATTTCAATGTAAAAATCATGTTTCAACTCAAAAGTTAAAAATTGAGCTTCATGTAGAATCAATTCTACTTTAGAAGAACCAAACACCTCAAAATCATTCCAAAATCAATTCTACACCTCTAGAATTACCTCAAGAATTGATTTTGCCTCTTCCAAAATCTAAACCAAACATACGCTAAACCTACTAGTTATGAATCTCTAGTGTATCTATTTAGGATTAGGATATAAATCTCATTTTGAATCCTGATTACTATGATGAATTCCAATTCAATTCACATTGACATTCACATCTCATTATACACAAAACCATAAAACTATACCTCATGTTCAATGGCTTCCCCTATTTGACAAGCAGCTTGAATAACTCTAGCACTACCAACCCCATTACTATTAGTCATCAACAACCCCATCAACTTATGCATAGTGATAACAGCCATCATATCAGCAGGCAACTCATTGAAAAAAGGCGAATGACTCAACCTAGTCTTACTATCTTTACAAAGCTCTTGATCCGCCACAATCGCATTCTTCAAAGGCTCAAACCAACCGAGAAACAAGGACTTCATGTAAGGCAAATTCGGCGAAAGCTTCTGTTCGCGCATATCTTCCAACAATTCCTGATACTCTCTCGCCGCTTCCTCCCATGCCTCAGTCTCAATCTTCACCTGTCTCCTTCTAAGCATCTTATACTTGTAACTATTGTTCTTGTTCTTTTTCATCTCTAGAGGCTTCTTCTTCTCTTCTTTCACCATTTGTTCTAACAATTCCTGAACTTCTTCTGAACCTGAACATGAACCTGAACAATCATCTTCTGTATCAGTCGATTCAATAGCTTCAGCAACACTACCGTAGCTTCTAATGTGATTCAATCCCGTTGATGAAAAACTAAAAGGGTGTTCAGAAAACGTAAATTCAGATCGACCCGGTTTGTTTTCTGAAACTTGACTGAAACACAAAAACGGGTTCCTTTGGGGCGAGATTTTCTCGGGAAAATTGTTATGATGGGAAAATCTGTGTGAGGTGGAAGAACGTGAAATTGAGATGGATTGTGAGGATAAGTTGAACTTTTTGGAGGAAGCGCGTTTGGCTAATTTGGACAACATTTTGTTGGTGATGAAAGCGAGGAATGGAAAATTCAGTTTGAGAAAAGTGATTGTGACATGAGAAAAAGAATTGATTTTGCCGAGAAAATTTGAGGTTTGGGAAGATTATGGAAGGGTTAGTGGTGAGTTGCAGTAGCCGCCATGAACGTAAAACCCTTCATAAACCTATGATGGATGATGTCTTGCTTTTGCCTCTGACCCGGAATTAGTAGTCGGATTTTTCTACATTAAAGATTACTAGTACTAGGTAAAAATGTTTTGAAATATTTAACCAAACCGGTCTGTTTAGCCGGTTAACCGTTGGACCATAATTTGAGTGATATTATTTTATCTATGATTTGATTATTTGAGTGCTTCGACCATAATTTTATTCATCCTCGTTTAAGCAAAGTAGTTCAAGAGCGAGCATTTGGATGACATGGTGAGGTCTTTTCCAATTTAATTAGATGTTTTATGTTAAAATTAAGCCTTAAACATGCATTAATGTAAAAAAAATTTAAGAAGAGTTTGTCGTCTATTATATATATATACCGAAGACGTAGTTACCAACCCCGAAGCGGGTGTCTCAATAACCATATCACCACCACAAGAAGAAAAACACAAATCCAAACGCTTAGCGCACTCGAAAGAAATAAACGAATGAGTCGCTCCGGTATCGATAATAGCAACTAAGGGCATATTATTAATAAAGCATGTACCTTTAATCAACCGATCCGCATTAGTAGTGTCTGCACCCGCTAATGCAAATACCTTCCCGCTTGACGGAGCTTGCTTTGCCTTAGTACACTTCGTACTAATATGACCAACCTCCCCACAGTTAAAACACTTAATCACATTCCTTCTACATTCAGTTGTAGCATGACCGAGACCACCACAGTTAGCACACTTTTCCCTAGCCTTCTTACACTCAAAAGATTTGTGCCCCTCTTCGCCGCACCTATAGCACTTAATGGGACCAGAACTTCCCCCTCCGGATTTCTTGACAAAGTGTTCCCTATGCTTGCCCTTATCAGCAGGCGTCACATAAGGCCCACTCCTTACTGGTTGCTTTCCTCGCCTCTCACTCAAACTCTTATAGTGAGTAGAACGAGCCCTACTATCCTCTTCGAAAATTCTACAGCATTCGGTTAAGTCCGAAAATCTTCGAATCCTCTGATATCCCACAACTTGCTTGATCTCCGGGCGCAAGCCGTTCTCGTACTTAATACACTTGGAAAATTCCGCCGCCACCGCATCATAGTGAGGATGGAATTTCACCAACTCCGTAAACTTAGCCGTGTAGTCGACCACGGACATGTTACCTTGTTTCAACTCTAGAAACTCCATTTCCTTCTTTCCCTTCACACTCTCCGGATAATACTTCCTCAAAAATTCAGCGCGGAACAAATCCCAAGTTATTTCCTCATCATCAACCCCAAGAATTTGTCTTATGCCGACCCACCAGTCATCGGCTTCTTCTCTCAGCATGTGAGACCCAAGTCTCACCTTGTTCCTCTCAGCGCAATTCATAACTCTGAAGATCCTCTCGACCTCCTTCAGCCAAATCTGAGCACCGTCCGGATCAAACCTTCCTTTGAACACCGGCGATTGATTCTTCCTAAACTCATCGTTAGCATTCACATTCGGCGCACCCTGCACCGCTCAAGCCATAGCTTCCAATGCCGCAGCCATCGCGTTGTCATTACGACCAGCCATATTCTCATTATTTCCAAAAATAACAACAGGGTCAAACAACCGTTCAACCAACAAAACAGCGAGACAGATACAACTGACTCAACACTGGGCTCTGATACCACTTAATATAACACCCCCTTTCTATGCCCCCAAATAATACAAGTAATCATTTAGGCATAAATTTAAAATTTCATCAGAGTACATTTGTAACATGGCATAAAAGGGAAATATCACATTATCATAAAAATTCCAACACATACAGCACCTGCTCAACAGATATGCAACAACGGGATAACACCCACAAGAAATATTTAGAACAAAGGCGGAAATATCCAAATATTTCATAATTCACAAAACATGTATTCACATATACAATTATCATTCATCATGTTTTACAAAACATAACAACAGCAGATACATACTCAGATGTATCACAAAAGAATCAAAATAAATCCTATTTTACCCGGTGCTACATATCAGAGCCGACCGACCAAAAAGGGAAGAAGCCACGCTTCACAAAAATACCTCCAGCAATCTAGTCTGCAATGCCTCATAGAGCATTAAAAGAAACAACAGAAGGGTGAGAAACGATATCATAATAACAATGCATAAAAACATATATATATATATATATATATATATATATATATATATATATATATATATATATATATATATATATATATATATATATATATATATATATATATATATATATATATATATATATATATATATATATATATATATATATATATATATATATATATATATATATATATATATATATATATATATATATATATATATATATATATATATATATATATATATATATATATATATATATATATATACATAATACCCAAAATACGTCTTTCGCATTCTCACCGCAACTCACCTCGTCATACCGTACATCGCAATGTATTCACATCATCTATATACAAATAGAACATCATGCATATACAACATGCGTCAACAATGTTTATATCGGTTCATAAACACACAAAACATACATATTCATATATTCACACATACATGTGTCTTCAAGCATACCAATCATGCCAATCATCAACAATTCATATAAACATTTACAATTATGTTCATTCACCATACACCATGCAGGATGTCAACATGCAACTCATAGAGACCGACACACGACTCTATGCAGATGCAAATGCGGTACCGACTCATTTCAGCAGGTTCAATTGAAGAACCAAATAACCATCGCTCACACCCCACATGGGCACACGAGGTTCTGCAGATTCTACGCGAAATCAAAATAACCATCGTAATATACGAGGTTCTGCAAATCCACCGAGGGATCAATAATTAACCATCGCTCACACCCCACAAGGGCACACGAGGTTCTGCAGATTCACCGAGGAATCAATAATTAACCATCGCTCACACCCCACAAGGGCACACGAGGTTCTGCAGATTCACCGAGGAATCAATCGACACAAGAATGCATACCATGATGCTTCACATGCAACATGACTCATGACACTCTTGAAATGCACACATGCTTACAAACATACTCATGCATTCTACACATTCATACAAACATCATAGATTTTTAATCAGGCTAAACAATGCACATAATTGCCCAAGCGGCCACAATTCATAATCTAGGATTCACGCCATACGGCTACCCATAGCACAACACAACCCAGCATATAAACTACTAAATCAAAGAAGGGTCGACCGCAACCGAAACCTCAAGCCACGACAGCACCCAGCAACAGGGAAATCCATCCTGCTACGTTCGCTACACGCTCGCCTAGCGAGCTGCTAGCGAGCGTTCGCTACCCCCTCGCCTAGCGAACTGCTAGCGAGTGCAAACAGAACCTCCAAACATTGCTCGCTACCTCGTTCGCCACAGCGAACCCCCAGCGAGCTCTTCGCTACTCCCTTCGCTACTAGCGAAAGACCACAATATCATTCTGTCCCAAGTCTGGGACCGTTCGCTGCGCACTCGCCTGACGAACTACCAGCGACCATTCGCGACCTGCTCGCCTAGCGAACTGCTAGCGAGCGTCTGCGATTTCCACTTCTCCCCACTATTCAGAATCCAAAACCACCGATAAAATCACCCGATGAACTCCAACTCATATCCAACAACCTTAGTCTAACGAATACCGACTAATCTACGCCATCTAATCACGATTCTAACCGTTAGACAACGATTTCTATCGATTAAACCAAATCCAACCTAAAATGGAAAGTGTAGAAAAACTACCAACAACCCAAAACAATCCAACAAAATCATACATGATCATACACATTGATAGAATAATAAAGTTTCACACCCTTACCTGAACAATCGAAAGCTTTGGTGATGATTTCTTGAAGTTCTAGGTTTTTCCTCTTCTTTCTCTCCTCTTTCTCTTCTCTTCCTTTCTTTCCTTTGTTTTTCTCTCTATCTTACCAATTTTCTCTTTTTCTCTCATATACTCATATTCTCTTTTCTTTCCTCTCAAATTCTATCCACACACTAATTAATCAATTCTCATAAAAATATCCACTTAGCATAATCACTAATGCCCAAAATACCCTCCAACCTATTTTTACCCAAAACACTCAAAATCGGTAAAAAGAGAAAATAGCATAATATGTACACATAACATATTAAACACATAAATCATATATTTAAAATAATAATTCAATCAATTAAATCAGAAAGGACTCAAAATAAAGGAAATTCAGAATCGGGGCGTTACAACTTTCCCCCACTTAGGAATTTTCGTCCTCGAAAATATTACCTGATTCGAACAACTCAGGATGTGACTCACGCATCTTACTCTCCAATTCCCAAGTCATATTGCCTTCCGCAGCACCTCCCCATGCTACCTTTACAAGCGAAATGTCCTTGCCTCTTAGGTTCTTAACTTCGCGGTCCAAAATCATAACCGGTAAAACCTCAACCGTAAGATTATCTCTTACCTCCACCTCATCCATAGGAATCACATGTGACGGATCCGGAACATACTTCCGAAGTTGCGAGACATGGAACACATCATGCAAATTCGAAAGACTCGGAGGCAACGCCACACGATAAGCTGCCGCACCAACTCGTGCAATAATTTGATACGGACCAATAAAACGAGAAGTCAACTTCTTCGACTTCAAAGCACGACCCACACCCGTAACCGGTGTAACTCTCAAAAACACATGGTCACCTTCTTGAAATTCAAGGTCCTTCCTTCTCTTGTCATGATAACTCTTTTGCCTATTCTGGGAAGCTTTCATCTTCTCCCGAATAAACTTCACCTTCTCCGTCGTTTGTTGTACCATTTCCGGTCCAACTACCGATCTCTCTCCGG